AGTTCTAATAGAAGTGAACCAAAAGATGCATGTTGACATCCACAAGAGGAAGCATGGAGAAAAGCTGATCTCTTTGTTGTGCAGTTTTTTAGAAGCACTTCCCATGATGTTGCATTCATGAGTGAAACATTGCACAGAACAAGTTTTATTGAGATAACTGAGTGAAAGAGCACTGTGATAACACAAAAATAGAACAATTAAAACAAAATTCTGCACTAATTCTTCTAGCTTGGTAAAGAGCAAAAATGTAAGAGAAGAGTCTGGTTGAATATTCATTGAAAGGCTACAAAATGCAGTAGAATAGAATGAACGGAATGAAAGTGGAAACACAAATGCAACAGTTATTAACATAAACATGTTTTCTTTTATAAATAATACCAAATGATTATAATCTCTTGAATACTTCTTTCTTGTTTTCAGTTAACAAGCCTTTCTTCAGTAAGTCTTCACTTTGAAATTTTGTAAAAATCCTCAAAAAATCCTTTTAAGCATTTACTTTTCCACATTTCTGTTGGGTCATTAGGAATACAACAATTATGTTTAACTGCTCCCTAAGCAAAGAAAAAAATTATTGTATCACTCCCAGCATACCAGCACTGTGACTGTGCACATCTAGAGAGGGAACAATTGGATATGCTGTGCTCTGGTTTGCTCAGCCTTTAAAGCAGGTATTCTAGTGTATAAATTCTCACATTACAGTGTTTCAGTCATTTTGAACAGAGCAGTGTGCATTGTTTATATTGTTTAAGCTATGGTGTATTGAGAAACATAATTGCCTATGTTGTTGTGTTTCTTGTTCAATGGACCCTGATATAATTATCACTGAACTGTGCTGTCCTAGTTTGAACTAAATTTTAAACCTCATCTGAGGGGCAAAAATCTTGTAACATGCCAAAATGGATTGCAAAACAAGAAACAAGGATTGCAAACTTTACAACAGACTCAAACACCAAGTTATTGATTGTGTAAGCAAGGACCCATTTCATCGATAACTGGCTGCAAATCCACTTTCGACAAATTACACGCTAGTGTGTAACATGACTATACAGACACATATGGCTTTGTGATGAGTGTGTAAATCATGCATGAATATACATGTGTACTACATGTTGAATGATATTGCTTTTTTGTTTTCTGTTTTTTCTTTGTCCACTTGCCGTGCAGGAATGGGGTGTTATTAGATTATCCATAGCCCCACACTTTCCTACTTCATCTGTGATGTCTCTTTGAATCCCTCCAGAATTAACTAAATCAAAGAGTTTACATCAATTGAAAACCCTGTCTATGCTCGTGTTAAATTACAGCTGAAGGTGAAAGCTCATAGCCTCGACTGTTAATCAGTGAACTCACCCGCCTTAAAGAAAAACAAAAACCGTGGAGAAAATTAAGTTTAACACAGAGAAAAGGTGCTCGAACACATTTACCGAACTCAACTTCAAAACGATAGCTTGTCGGAAAATATTATATCCCCTAGAAAATCAAGTAAACATTGAAAAACATACCGTTCCCACACGCGATTAAGGAAACCAATATCAGTAGGGAAAACATCTCCTACTTCCCTAGTTTAAGCCCAAAGAGTCCTCAGCTGACTTCATGTTGGTTGACAGTTGATGGGAGATCTTGTATCATTATCGTTAACATCCGGGAAGTTTGCACAATTGTTTAGCGTTCGTGTTAGACAAGTTATTATGTCCCCGAGCAGGTTTTTTGAATTGTCACTACAACCACCACAAATATTCAATATACTACACCTGCTACAGATATTAACAGAAGTATTTTACCCGGTTTATATGCGTCTGATACTAATCCTTGAAATTAATGAAACCGTGTGGTGTTGCTGAGATCGTACTGACAGGCTGAATGTGGTCTGGGACACTACGCGTATCTTACACCAACAACAAATCGCTCGAAGGCACGCTAAGGCAGGCTTCAGCGCCAAACAAGCGGTCTGACTGCCAATCATTTACAACAGTCTTTAATTGAATAGAAAATAGCTAACAATGAGTCATTATTTGCCTTGCGGACTGCTGATTGTTTTTTGTATCAGTTTGCGTTGTAAAAGATCTGAAAAATGTTTTTCACTGAGAACTAATAATTAAACAGCAGGCCTAAATAATGGATTTCAAACTTGTCTCATAGCAGGATGGGACAATAAAGAGGCTGGCCCTATTAACATCTTCCTTTGACTTTCATGATGTTTCAGTGACAGTTTCCACAGGGTGATGCACGGCATCACGTCATATTCTAGGTTTCTATTAACAGAACAAACTGAACTTAACAATTGAGTTGAAAACGTAAATTAGCCACCTTAAAAAGTTTAAAGGCTAACGTTTCGAGCATTAGCCCTTTGTCAGAGCGATATCGCTCTGACGAAGGGCTAAAGTTCTAAACGTCAGCCTTTAAATTCTACGGAGGTTAATTTACGTTTTCAACTAAGTTATTAACACTAAATTAACTGTTATACTCTTCCACTGACGCAGCACGACAGTTTCTTTAGAAACTTACCCCCTTATGAACTTAACAGTGTGTTAAATCGTGATATTTCTCTGACAGTTGGCTGGAAACTGTCTTCTGGCTTAGATCATGATGTTTCAGTGACAGTTTCCACAGGATGATACACGGCATCTTGTCAGTACTCTAAGTTTCTCCTGCTCAGAACTGTTTCACAAAAACTTAATATCATATTAGATCTGGGTCACGTTCTTGACAAGTGACCCGTGGAAAAGCCAGGAGACGAAGAGCCTTTAAGCATCAATAGATCGTTAAGCGTAGCCATAAATAGCAGTGGAGAGAATGGTTTCACAGGATTTTCATTAAAGGTGCCCTGCACTAGGGTCTTACCGACATCTGAGGGACAAGCACATGTATTTTATTATTCTGAAGTACGGTATCGCATTTTCTTAACCGTGTAGTCGACAGAGTCCACCCTAAAAGGTTTTGAAAAGGCCACTGCTCGTTGGACTAATAATAGTCTTTGCCTACTCCTGGTTCCAAACTCCTTGGCGAAATGATTTTCATTTGCTCTTTAAGCAACCTATGGTCGGCGTTTTGTTAATGTTTATATATATAAATATGTGTGTGTGCGTGTGCGTGTGCGTGTGTGTCTGTGTGTGGTCAGGCTTTATCAACATAATGATCAATTTGCGTGAAACCTCGCCATATTTAATATCTATCTTGAAACGGAATAATTGAATTCCTTTCTTACTAGTGTCTTTTTTTTTTTACGTATGCTTTTGTTATTGTTGTTTATTAAGATCTCCGTGATGCTGAATCGTCACTTTCGAGAGGGAATGGGAATTTTTCTCCTCGGGAACTTGGTTCGTTAAGGTGGTGGGCATCGCAAATCGAACTTTAAATTTTCATTCAAATTACACTTCCAGCGAAGTTCGCTGCAGTATATTTCCTTAATGATACCTCAGTCATTTCATATCATTTACGCAAACGTTTAGTCCCTGTGGTGTTTCATAGTACTAGTGCATGCTTGGAATGGGAAACTTGACACCCACGACATTTAACAATAGGAAAGCAACCTTCTCCGCTTAAACGTTTCCCGTTACACAATGCATTTCCGGTTCTCCGCTTTACCTCATGATCATTTCCCACTTTTTTATATATCCGCTCCAAAAGATCCGTGCCGGCTAAGTTTACATGACTACGTTATGTTAAGAACATGCGTTTAACTTTGAAAATGCTTTTGGTCATGCTTCTTTTAGTTGTCGCAGAAAACTTTTTCAATAACCCCTCCTTATTTAAGTGATTTTCAGGTCTTCGAAGCTCTACTTGAATAATGAGGCCTTTGAGACATTCAAAACATTTTGCCTGGACTGAATATTTTTGATAGAAATATTACAGGAAAAGTGAACCATTTTACAAAGGATGTATTTTATCAAACCGGAGAAAATACTTTTGTTTTTACCTTTTGTAGACGAATGGAACAAACTTAAATATTGAGAACAACTGGGTTGAAAACGTAAATTAGGCACCGTAAAGGGTAAAAAAGCATTGTGGGTTGTGTGTGGATTTATATGTAGAAAGAGGAGCTACGCCATTGGTCGTCACCATATCGTCATATCGTCACCATATTCCCACCAATGGCGTAGCTCCACTTTCTACATATAAATCCACACACAACCCACAATTCCTTCTGACGAAGGGCTAACGCTCGAAACGTCAGTTTACGGTGGCTAATTTCCGTTTTCAACCCAGTTGTTAACACTAAATTACCTGCTATACTCTCCCACCGACGCAGCACCACAGTTTCTTTAGAAACTTACCCCTTTAAATATTGAGAAATGTCCTAGTTTGACTCCCATAATCAAAACATTTGTTCATTGGCTTTTAGATTTTTCCTCATATTTCAGTTGTAGCCATGTCGTAATTAATAGTAAAGAAGTCGACTGAGAACCACACTCTAGTCCGACTCCCTCTTGTCTCTCTCAAAGTGACGCTTTGTCTAATAAATAATGATCAAGTTTCTCGACCGGGAGAGGACTAGAATTAGGCAATTTCTGAGTCCATCCAAAGCCGAGAACTTTAACTGAGCTTCTTCCCTAAAGCCGTTTCAGCGGACAATTGTGAATAAGAGATGTAAATTCCTATTATATAACTATCTTGGATAGGACTGAGAAGACTTCACCCAAGTCAAATGCTAACCCAGCGTCGTGAAAACTCTTTAATGGAGTTAACTGTTAGCCGTAAAACGGCCAAAAATTGTAGCCATTAGGCGTGCAAACTGGACGATATTAAGCCGTTTGTTGTTAAAAAAGTTAACCGTAACAAGTTTTCCTTTCAACAATGTGTCATTTTATGTTATTTGGGTGAACCGTGCGGTAGAATGGCCAAAATTTTAACCGTTAGCCGTAGAAGCCATTACCGATGAAAGATGTCTTCCTCAATTTGCTTTTACAGCTAACGGTTGAAATTTTGGCCATTTTATCCTATGGTTAACTTAAATAACATAAAATGACACTCTTGTGTTTTTAATTTTTATGTCATCACTACAACAGTTCCTGAGGCCCTATTGTAGAAGTTGAAAAATGATAGGGACACGCCATAGCTTAGGAAATAAAATAAACAAGGTACGGGCCAGGTACTTAAGCTTAAAATATAGATTCCGGAATATCTGGAATTATATACCGGGTATCTAGGCCATAAATAATAACCATCATAAAAAGCATGTAATCAGCTTTCTTCTGAAGGACCTTTTTTCTTTAAAATACCCTCTAAAGGCCCGGGAAAGTCATACCCAAACAATTTAAAATCCAAATCAAACAGTTTCTTCAGCTGAAAGATTTCATCTATCGTCAATTGGGAGTAATACTTCAACATGTTCGACGAAGTCTTGGACGGGCGATAATCAGGAAATGTTACGTAGCCATCAACGCCAATAATCTTCAGGAGTGTTGGTGCCTCCTTGTCTAAATTCTCAAAGTGACCAATGAAGTCATAGTCCACTTCACACGGACATATCTGCTCGTATGAGCGCCAATGTTGATCCTCGATACCACGATTTTTTAGTTGTGTGGCGTTGGTTTCAATAACTCTATTTACAAATGCTGAAAATGGCGTTCTTACTTTCTTAGTTTCTCGCTTTGTTCTGTCAAGGAGAATAAATCTTTTGAACCAATCAAATTTAATTTTGTCTCGATATGCCGATGCCAGCCTCGCAAAAGGCTCTCTGACAAACATGGCTTTGTAGTAGGTGCTCAATATCTTCTGCCGCTCAAAAATGCTGTAGTCCTTGAGCCAAGAAAATAGTTTCCTTCGGTGTGGGACTCCTTCCAGGTTTTCGCCATTATTCGCGGCACTATACAGGATTTTCTTCCAAGTTGTACATGAAACTTTGGGAATGAAGCAAAACACGAGCTTCAACTTTTCAATGACGATGAAACGGGTGAAGTCGGCTTCTTGGAGAAATAAAGGATTTGGTGGCTTCTTCAGGCACTGATCGCGCAGAAGCTGTCTTCTTTCTGTCATCACTAAACTAAACGACATCGATGGAGAATTGGATGTGAAGCCTATAAAAATAGGACAAAAATAGTGATAAGTACACGAGGAAGCCATATAATGATTGATCAAGGTGGTGATTGAGGCAGTGGCTATGGATATGGCTATGATGACAGTAATGGCAATGGCCATTGCACTACCAATGGCAATGCCAATACCAATGGTGGTGATGTAGCACATGGAAAAATCAATGGAAATTCCATGCGCAATGGCGATGCTAATATAAATATAGCATTGCTATCACAATTCAGCCAGAGACCCCAAAAATACGTAAAAATGTTTTAAAAATATAAGTAGAAAAATAGAAGGCTTAGCGAGTCATTTGGCACGATACTTAATGATTTGTTCGGAGTAGAAAATTAGTGACGGTCTCGGAAGATTCTCGAATATAATACCCTTTCATAATGCCAATATCGATTCATAAGTCTTCAAGATTTACGACGACCTAGAAATGAGACGGAACATAAGTTCAGTTTCGTCTCCCGAGTAACCATGACAGCAGTCAAGATCTTACGGAAAATTTACACATTCGGTAGATTAAGGAAGGCAACTTTCTCCAATCATTTCTCATAACTTTAAATTTGCGCCGAAGAAAGTATCTTACAAGTAATAACACTTATTTAATATAGCTATGTGGTTTAAAATAAGCCCTGCCAAGTTTGATTCGACTTTTCTGGTGATGCAACATTTCACAATTACATCTCGCTCGCCGGTTATTGCTTTCAAGGCAAGAAATTGAGTTCCAGGGCAACCAAGCCTATACCTGACGGAATGTTAATGGTTTGAACATTATATACAAGAACTGTTTTCATTTTCGCCTTTTAGTTAAAAAAAAAACGCGTTATCGCTCGATTTTAGCCGCCGACGGAGCGCAGTAAATAACTTTAGAGTGATTATTACCCGAGCATGATGAAATAAAGAAATTTTTTCTTGTGATTCTCTAAAGGACAATTAGAACAGTTTACCACTTGAAAACAAAAGAACTTATTTCAGCAGGCTTTATTAGATGTGCTCTTAAAGATACTTGCCACATTAGGCTATGGACGAAAACTTTCTCTTATATGAATACCAATAAAGGCTACAGAGATGCTTCTTTTTGACCCTTGTCAATTTGATCGTGTCTTCTGTTAAGATTAGTTGCATAATAGTGTCTTACAATCTTAAAAAAACAAAAGGTCTTGAGTGTCAAAGGTTAAGCAAAAAACCCTAAGCATGTTCTACTATGTTGAACAGGTGAAATACGCTTTAGTTTTGGACCCACTAATCGTCCTGTGCTAGCGTGTAAAATTGTGAACGAACTAATGATCAATAAACTCAAAGTCCTCCAGAAAATCACAATCGTTCTACTATAAAACTGATACTCAAGAAAAAAGGTTTTCCTCTCAAGCAGACGTCATAATAAGTCTCAAGTCTCGCAGTGTTACACACAAACTTGAACATACGAAAACCGCCAAACTTAACGCTATCATGTATTTGACTACAGTTATTAATCATGATGGGTGTTTACTATCTTTCCATCGGTTTGCTATCACTGCATATCGACACATGGCCGATGTTCATAAGTTGATTTGGGCCATAATCAACTATTTAGATCCAATCAATGGAAAAGAACAAGTTCCGTGAGGTTATATTTAGCGAAGTGATATTTAAGTGAGCCCTTTCCAAAATGACAAACGCGGAAAACTCAATATTGAGAATTTCAATTCAGTGCAACTTCTATCTGAGAAATAACGGCCTGAAAGCAAATTATTGTATCCATAGGGTTTTAAATGACTGGGGATTAAATATATCCAACTCAGCCACCCAAACGTGGGTAAATTTTCTTTATACTCGCAGTGACATTACACCTGAGCAAACGAATGGCCAAAATAAAACGCTTAAAGGTGGTCAAACACAGAATTGCAAAATATTTTAAGAGCTGGTATGAATTTCTGTTAGTATTCTAACAAATTGTTTAATCTTCAGTAGGTTCATTTTTGAAACAGGACGCTCCAATAATCTGCGGGATCAAAACTGAGTGTTCAGCCTAAAAACAGAAGGGTTCGAATCCTGTATGATCGTAACTTACCTCCAGAAAAATATCTTCCCAAAACTATGTTTGAGATCCACACGCACAAACACAATGCAAAGACTACCAAAATAATGCGATCCTTTCGAATGCCTCTTGAGTAAGATTTTCCAAACATGATGATCAAATTGCAGCTTGCACTTGCGGGTTGTGGCAGTTTTCCAAATGAAAAAAACGCACTTCGCGATAAAATGAAGTGAATGGTTTTTTTTTTTTTGACTTATGGACAACCATAATAATAAAATATATTCACAAAAGACAATTTTATGTAAATATTTGCCTCGCTCTCAACTTATTTGTCGAGTCTTAATGAGTTTACGATTCTCTTATTAAACATTTTAATAGTTTATGAATGTCATTAACTGTATTAGCCACGAAAGGAAAACAGGTTGATAAACACAGGCTTTATATTACTCGAAGTTTATTTTTCCAGGGAAAGTGTTCGAGAGCCTTCTAAAACAAAAGTGCCATTAACGGCTAAAAACCACCGGCCCGCTATTCAAAGTTCTCTACATAAGTTGTGTAAATTATGGCATATCATCCTGAGATAGTGAGATCCACATATTACCAAGAGAGGTCCGCGCGGGTAGAGAACTTGCTTCATGTTATGGAAACCGAAAAAGCTCTGGATGGCTGGATAGGCCATTTGGTTCAAGTACGGACTTAACCAACTGGTGCTTGGAGTGGAAAAACCTTGACACCTTTGACATTATAAAAGCAAACGAGTCTTCTGGTTGAAAATTTCCTGTTACTTCATGCATTTACTACTCCGAACTATTCCTCGTTTCCCACTTTTTTTCTGTAAGGTATTTGCTTTAAGCAGTTTTCAACGTCTTTTGGAATCAAGTCTTTCTTCAAAAAAAAATCCACGTTAGTCTTGAGGTTTTACCTGATGTTTGCAACCGTAGTATGTCGGTAAACCTGGGATGAAAGATGCATACTGTCAATAAACAATTTGTTCCCTCATTGAAGCCCCTTTTCCGTTTTGAGTTTTTTTAAAGTCAATTCATCAGTCTCTAAATACTGCATTAACATCTTACTCAGCTTTCCTCTGAGAGACCTTTTTCTTTAAAGTACCCTCTAAAGGCCCGGGAAAGTCATACCCAAACAATTTAAAATCCAAATCAAACAGTTTCTTCAGCTGAAAGATTTCATCTACCGTCAATCGGGAGTAATACTCCAACATGTAAGGCGAAGTCTTGGACGGGTGATAATCAGGAAATGTTACGTAGCCATCGACGCCAATAATCTTCAGGAGCGTTGGTGCCTCCTCGTCTAAATTCTCAAAGTGACCAATGAAGTCATAGTCCACTTCACATGGACATATCTGCTCGTATGATCGCCAATGTTGATCCTCGATACCACGATATTTTTGTTGCGTTGCGTTGGTTTCAATAACTCTATTTACAAATGCTGAAAATGAATGTTCTTTTTCTTTTGTTATTTCTCGCTTTGTTTTGTCGGGGAGAAGAAATCTTCTGAACCACGTCTTTTTTATTTTGTCTCGATATGCTGATGCCAGCCTCGCAAAAGGCTCTCTGACAAACATAGCTTTGTAGTAGGTGCTCAATATCTTCTGCCGCTCAAAAATGCTGTAGTCCTGAAGCCAAGAAAATAGTTTCTTTCGGTGTGGGACTCCTTCTAGTTTTTCGCCATTATTCTCAGCACTATAAAGGATTCGCTTCCAAGTTGTACATGAAACTTTGGGGATGAAGCAAAACACTAGTTTCAACTTTTCAATAACGATGAAACGAGTAAAGTCAGCTTCTTGGAGAAATAAAGGATTTGGTGGCTTCTTCAGGCATTGATCGCGTAGAAGCTGTCTTCTTTCTGTCATAACCGAACTAAACGACGTCGATGGAGAATTGGATGTGAAGCCTATGAAAAGCGGACAAAAATAGTGATAAGTGCACGAGGTAGCAATAAAATAATTGGTCAAGGCAGTGATTGATAAAGAGGCCACGGAGATGGCAATGGCCGCTGTACTGGCTATAGTGCTGCCAATGGTGATTATAGAGAAGATGCACAAAATCAATGAAAACTGCACTAGCAAAGGCGATGCCAATGTAATTGTTAAGCATTTTTATTAAATCAGGGTGTGCTTTGCTTAGAGAAAGATGTCTTAGGAGTTCTGTAGACACATTCAAATTATATGTCCAATCAGTTTGTTTCACGTGTGAACTGTTTCAAAGCGATTCTCATGTAACTTTCAGCGTTCTGCTTTCAAATCGTTTCGAAAAATTATAAAATGCGCTCTCAAAAAAGGTGACTGAGGAGCGTCTATGGAGGATGATGCGGAATAGATAGCAAGCAGGATGAAAAAAATTCATAGAGAAAAACAATGAGTAAACGAAGCGGCGAGATTTGAACCTGCGCAATAATTTTTTCCGACCGAAAGAACAAGGATTTTAAATATGTATCTTGAAGAATTAATTCACTGTGTTCGAAGGAACGACAGGGAAGATAATGAAAGCTCAAGCTTAAGATGCTTTGTTTCAAGCATTGAGAAATGTTTTGTTATTTTTCACTTGCTGTCGGCAGCGTTGAATCGTTTCTACCGGCAAGGCAATACATCTTTCACGAGAGATTTATGAGATTTTGACCTACATATCTTTTAACAATAAAATTTCATGAAAATGAAAGCGATCTTTGCAGTTATGAACATTAATACGAAGATCGCTTTCATATTCACGTCTTTATCCGCAGTTGACATGTATGATTCTCTTATATTCGCGGTCATTTAATAAATTTCATTAAACAAGAATGTAATCTTGGTATGTATGTGGTATTTATGCACTCGTCAGTTTGTTTCAGAAAATTCCGACTGATGCGTAAATACCATACGGAAAGACTTCCCATAAAGTATTCCACATTTACTGCACGCGGTCAAATGTTCCGTCAGGGAGGCCTTTTCACACGACATTTTGAGTTTTATTTCGAATAAAAAACTAGCGTGGGAGTCCTTTAAGATCACCACGACGGTCTCCGACGATTGTCGAATATTCATAGTACCAATATCGATTCATCATTCTTTAAAATTTACGACGGCCCCGAAATAGAACAAAATAGACGATACACACTTGTTACTATAAATTCAGTCTCGTCTCCAGAGCAACCATGATAGTCATAAAGAACCTGCAGAAAGCCAGTTTGACTTTCAGTAGATGACGGAAGGCAACTTTTTCTGACTAATTTTCATGACTCTAGATTCGCGCTAATGAAAGTATCCTAAAAGGAATAAAAACACCTTATTCGATGGTTTAACATATGATACGCACGTTCAGTGCGGCCATTTTGTTCCTCGCTATTGTTGCACTATTCTAAAATGTCTCACGGTGGCATATTTTGCGCGCTCACGCGACCTTTTGCGTAACATGAAATAGTAGTGGAAGAATAAAGCGAATTTGAATTTTGAAGCGTGGTTCGAAGCAAGCTCTGCGTTTCGCTCATTATTACTTCTTGGCAGGAGACGGAACAAATGATTCCAGGGTAACCTTACCTATACTAGATGGAATTTTAATGTTTTCAACATAAATACCACAATTGTTCTTGCTCTTGACCATAAGCTGAAAAAAAAGATGCATTTTCTTTGCAAAAAATTCGAAAATTTAGCAAAATGTGTTAAATGCCGACGAAGCGCTGGTTTTTTTGGTTTTCTTTTCGCGTGTACTAAATTAAAAAGTCTGAAAATAATTTGAGACTATTTGTAAATAGATTAAGAGAGATGGTAAGTTTTGAGCTCGGTAAAGAAATAGAGAAAGATGTTTTTTGTCTTGTCACGAGCGTGGGTCAAAGAAAAAAGGCTGAATACCCATGAGGAATCGAACCTTAGACCTTCGGATTCTGCGTTCCGATGCTCTACCGCTGAGCCACAGAGCGTCGGAGCGCGGAATCCGAAGGTCTGAGGTTGGATTCCTCATGAGGACTCAGAATTTTTTCTTTGTCCCACGCTCGTGACAAGACGGAAACCACATTTCTCAATTTGAGAATGATTTGTACGTGAGCAACACGAATTAACAAAATTTTTTGCCGGATCGTGACCCTCCAAAGAAGTTCGAGGCTTAAGAATTTTTTTCTCCAACTGATTTTTTTTACATATTATTAAAATAGTATCTTTTCGTAAGAAATCAAACGTGACCAAATTGCCTTATCAATTTCTCTTATTCGGAACAAAAACCATCTAATAGACTTCAAAATTAAAGTCTGATGTAAAAACGTGGAAAGCTAATCAGTTCCGTTCCTAGTTAGAGATCGAAAGAGAAGTGATACTTGGATTAATTAAACGATATTTCACTTGAGAGAATGTAGCCACATTTGGTTTGTCAAGCATTCCTCTCTATAACATTTGCGTTTCTCGGCTGTTCGAGATTGGTGGAGGCGCTTAATTGCCGCTCAGATCGAAGACAAACCGGTACCCAAATAGGAAAGAGCGAAACCAAACCGAAAAACCGAAAAAACGATCTGAAAGGACACGACGTGAGGAGTAATTAGTTCACATCACAATTTGCTGACCCCCCAGAGCTGCCAGAAGATCTCAGTGACTTATTGTTTGGAAACGATAACCGAAATGGATTCATGAAATTAGAGCGCTATTAGGAACATCTCCCAATTCGAATCACTTCCCATTTAGTTAATGATAAATACGTAATCATTGTTTGACCTATGGACGACAATTTTAAATAAAGAAATGATTCTTTATTTAAAATTGTATTTATTGCGGTTTTTTTTCTTATCATTGGCGTACAAAAGAATACCAACTACTGAGCAATTAGGATTTCAACAATGCTTATTTCAAAAGACGGCGAGCATATCATCTCATCGTTAGCTTAAACCGTCTGTTAAGTTCGTCTTTTTTCCTTCTTTTCTCTGAAAATTTTCAACTAAAAAATATCGACTAGCTTTGATCGAAGGTTGGCAACATTTCATAATAACTTCATGTTTTAGTTATGAACTTCATAGTTTCTCAAAGCTAAGACACGCATCACACTTTAACTAAAACAAATGAAAATATGTTAATCAGCAACAATGATCATTTCAAAAGAACATAAACTGGTCCTTACGCGGTTATTTCTCTCTGAATCTCAGCGATCACAAAAGCATTTGGATAAATGCAGTCATTTTTTCGTGGTGAGAAGCTGTGTAAATTCATTAGAAAAAATAGTGTTTTGTTAAGACACAGTTTAAACCCCAACGGATTGATTTGGTGCTTAAACATGGCCATATCATTCGTTAATATGTTGAATATTGTATCTTCTGCATATATCCACGATTTTGTTCTGAATGCATGTGATACTTTCGATGATAAATTGATTTTCTGATTATCTTACGTGATTCTCATGAACATCTATAAACTCATTTGCCATTTAACATCTCTCAACCTGGCCACAATTTACTTATACAATTTCTTGGTTGTCATTAACAAGTTTCATATTTCCACAATATTATTCATTTCACCGAATAACATGCTGGAATGTAACTTTTATTACACAAAGATCAAAGGTTTTGTTCTGAATGTGATACTTTCGATGAAACTCATTTGCTATTTAATATCTCTCAACCTGGCCACAATTTACTTGTACAATTTCTCAGTTATCGTTAACAAGTTTCATATTTTCACAATATTATTCATTTTTACAGTATGCTCTTGAAGTTGCTCGACACATATTGAACAATAAATCTTTTACATATTCTAAAGGCTGGTCCTTGGCCTAAAAACGGAAGGGTTCAAATTAAGTGTTGTAACCTACCTCCGGAAAAATATCGTACCAAGACTTCGTTTGAGATCCACACACATAAACACAGTGCAATGACTATTAAAATGATGCGATCGCTTCGAATTCCTTGTGAAAAAGATTTTCCAACCATGATGAACTATTTGCACCTTGCACCACCGTCAACGACAGGGTTATGGCAGTTTTTCAATTGAACAAAACTTTGACAGGCAGTTTCCAAGGATACGACGTGAGGAGAGACTTTTCATAAGTCTACAATTTTTTCCATTTATTTATTAATTATTTGCCTTTATTACATATTCAAAGGGGGAACAACGCTAATTTGCATAGATAATACATGGGAAATAGAAAATAGAAAAAGGAAAGGCGAGAAAATAATGGTTATAATTTTTATCAAGCTCAAAAATCATAAGTACTCCTCAACAATCTTTTGTGAACCTGGTCTGGTAAAAATCTTCTTTAACATTTGGTGCTCAGGAAAAAATTTGGTTAATAATAGGAAATGAAATACATCATTGTTTGACCTACGGACGACCATTTTAACTAAATAAAAAAGGATTCTTATAAAAGATACTTTGATGTGAATATTTGCCTCGCTCCAGATGATCGTTTCTTTTAATATTTTGTTTTCGTGCTTTTTATTGTTGCGAATTTTTGCAAGTGCTCTCGTGGCCCTCAAAGCGTTGCCACCCAGCTCCGTGTCTTGTTTGCAACAACAATTGTACCCCGTTACACCGCCAAGTCCGAGAAATTTGGCCACTGTTGGCTTGAACGCTGTTGAAATTCGCCGAATGACATTCTGGAATTTAACTTTTATTACACAACATTCTCTTATCACTTCCTTTTTCCTTGTTTCTTTCATCTTGATTCTCAAAACATATGCCAAAACAACCGAGTTTTCAGTCTAGCGGCCGCTTACTTACCTATTTACTTGAAATTACTTGTACAAAAGGCAATGAAGCAGATATTTTTTCCATTCGCATCTCTCGAAAACAGTGCAGAAACTAACAAAAGAAGAAGTCGTGAGTGAGATACATGTCTGTACCAAAGTGATTTTTTATTCTGAAAGTCAACTGCGTATTCTTTTTTTCTTATCAGTGGCATTCGAAAGAATACCAACTACTTAGCAATTAGGATTTCAACAATGGTTGTTTCAAAAGACGGCGAGCATATCATCTCATCGTCAGCTTAAACCGACTCTTAAGTCCAAGTCTTTTTTTCCTTCTTTTTTCTGAAAATTTTCAACTAAAAAATATCGGCTTTGATCGAAGGTTGGCAAAATTTCATAATCACTGCATGTTTTAATTATGAACTTCATAGTTTCTCAAAGCTAAGGCACGCATCACACTTAAACTACAACAAATGACAATATGTTAATCAGCAACAGTGATTATTTCAAAAGAATATAAACTGATCATTACGTGGTTATTTCTCTCTGATTCTCTGCAATCACGAAAGCATTTGGATAAATGCAGTCGATGCTGGAGTTAGAAACCATCTATAAACTACAGAACATTTTTATTTTTTCGTGGTGAGAAGCTGTGTAAATCCATTGGAAAAAATAACCCCAACGGATTGATTTGGTGCTTACAGATGGCCTCCATACCATTGCTTAAGCAGCCAATATAGCTAACGAAGTCGTTGAGAACGATCTATTTACACTGGTCGAGCATTTTATCGAGGAGACTATCAAACTTATAGACATATCCTTCATGAGAGACCTTAGTAATAATTATAAAAGCAACGATTATAATAATTTCAATTATTCACCAAAGTGAAGATGAATAGTACTTGCTATTCATTTCCGAACTAGCCAATCAGCGCGCGTGAAAAGCCACATTAACTTGTGTGATATATACAAACAAGGATTTATATAATAGGTATCAAGTTGGTTATTTTGACAAGATGCTTTCGAAATTATTCTGAGGAGGCCAGATTATATGTGGCTACGGTGATAACTAAAGGGACTTCCCCGTACAATGAAATATGTATGGGGTTTCCAGTGTCTTGGCTGTGTTTCGGCTGAAAAGAAACTGTAAATAAGCTCTTCTCAGATTTTATCTTAACTCGCGGCTTTATACTTGTCCACAGCTTATATTCCCTTTAAGGTCATCAAAGTTAATGTGGCCCCAGGCTCCAGAGCTGATGTCAATCAGCTTAACGAAAGCACGCTTTCCCAAAAATTCTTGTACATGCCATGTCCCTTGAGTCAAGGTTTCGATACATCTTCCGGTGCTTTGTTTCACAACCTGTGAAACGACAATAGTTATTAATTTTAACAAATGCGATAGAAAGTTTGGAATCAATTTGAGAATACTCTAGGCTTGCGAATGTTTAAAGCCGGCTAATTTGTTTTCTTGGTGAATTCACCCTCTTGAAAATCGAGACATTTATAAAGTGAGTTACATAAGGATGCTCCAATGAAAATAATTCAATCTTTAAATAAATATGGGTTTGGCCACCTCTAGGTTTTTCATAACTTTTAGGTCGAATAAAACAACGGAAGAGTTGAGGTAACGCCACACACACACACACACAAATGCAACCTGCAATACGTAGGCTCCACCTCGACTGAATTTAAAGTAAAATTCGTGACCATAAGTCGAATATGCTGAAGAACAAAAGAACTTGTGAATTGGCCATCCATTTTAATGACATGATATTTCTCAAATCAATTTCATTGTGCACAAGTGGCCAAATAAATAATGTTAGCCTCTTCGTTATGTTTGTCATCGGTTTTTAAAAAAAAAGGGGTCTTGGAGGGGAAATTATTATTGCGGTTTAATGACCCTTTCCTGGGATCCTTGTTACACCGGAGTAAACACTACTAATTAAGTTAAGTCTCTAATTTTTGTCACTTATTTATATTCACCTTATTTTTATTCACATGTCACCTATAGTTCTTTATTTACCTGTCATTGTTTAACCCTTTAACCCTTCTCAGTTTGAAATTTAGACCTTTGTTGTCTTACGTAACCTCAATCTTAAAATTTCTGTTCTGTATATAAGTCGCAATCATTGTAAATAGCTTTTTATGTTTTAATTTTTAACCTGAAGAAGGCCGAACGGCCGAAACGTCGTGCATTAAACCCGTCCAGAACAGTCAAGAGTTGGCCTCTTCGTTACGTCCTTAAAGTACACTTAAGGACAAATTCACGTCGAGACATTGTATCCTGTAGATCCTCTTACTGGGAAACCATCGTTAGGAATACCAATTCTTCGCTGTTTATATATATATTAGACCTTTGTTGTCTTACGTAATCTCGATCTTAAAATTTCTTATGTCAAACGTCTTATTATTATTTAATAAAAGGTCAAAGGTCTTACTCCGACTCTGGCATGGCTTAGATGATCCCACATGTGTGAGATCACTTGGGGTGGTTATATGGCCTTACCTCCACCTTAGCATCAGCACTGCATTGATAAGGCCCAGAAGGCCGAAACAGTACTGTCTGCAGTTAGTTATATATATATATACATATATATATATATATATATATATATATATATATATATATATATATATATATATATAGTATATATATATATATATATATATATATATATTGTGGAAGGAAAAAGACAAATAAAATACAAATTCAACCCTACAAGCCTGTTTCGTGGTTATCTTATTACGTTGTCCAAGGTAATAATAAATCCCCTGATGAGCGGGCAACCACGTACCATGTATATATGTATTTATTGATTGGTTCTTACTCGAGATTACTCGAAAGTCTGAGGCATAGATGGCGTCACCATCAGCTACATTTCGCCTCTAATTAAATAAAGCAGATAGATTGTATGTCGCATGTAATATCACAACAGACATCAAAATGTTGCAAGAACATCAGAGAGGCACCCGGCTGTGCGTCGTTTGCCATTTTTTCCTTCTTGCTACGTTTGACATCATCTGCGATCTATTACTGATCGATCGAACGTCGACATTTGCCAAATATATTGCGAGAGATAAATGTGTAGAGACAGAAAGGCATCATTCATATTACGATCCAATACTCCAATACTCACCTGATTGTCAACGATTAACTCCGCACGAACAACATTAATATCGCAGCCTCCCCCAATCAAAAAAGAAATAAGATGACCGATGATAATAAAGGAAGGCGTGGCCAGAGTTCCCTGGGGTCCATCTCCTTGTACTTGTCCTGCCGGTGTTCCTATGGTTGGCCGATCTTCACTTCCACCAATCCACCAATCACCCTGGTGATTAGAGGGTTGACCTCTGTTACGAGCCGTTGGGTTGTCGCCAAAAGTCGGCTGATTATCGAATGCTGTTCCTGTCTTTATCCAGCCCATGATGCCATCTTCAAAGTCAAACTTGCAAGCTTTAAAAAAAACAGACTTTAGAAGATTTTCAGCGGCTTTTCACAAAATTGTGCTGGTGATTCTTTGAATAGGTAGATTTCACCGAGGATATTTCGTGAGAGATATTAGACCTCCTTTCACAACCGCTCATTCAGTGTAAAAGGGGCAAGAATCTTAAGAAACTGTGGTGTTGCATTGTTTGAAGTTACTACCGTACAACTCTGTTTTATCAACTGGATTGATAATTCAAAGTGGATCCTAACGTTAGGGAGATACAGGATTCCACAAGTTAAGGTATGAAACATTAGTAGCAAAAGCTGCAAGTTGAAGCTTCAGCTTTAGTTTTGCTAGAGTCTTTTTAAAACATGTCTTCCAGTCTACTCACATACCTTCACAGTGAACTCCTGCAAATCCTGCTTTACAGTCACATTGATGAGAGTTTTGTTCAAAGTCGGGAATGCAAGTTCCATCATTTTGACACGGGCTGCTTTCACATAATGACTGTCGGGTAAAAAGAGACAAAAAGCAAAGAAAACTGAAAATCAACACTAACAAAGACAACACCATTCAGAGAGTAACCTGAAAAAGCGAAAGAGGTAGATTAACACCACCTGCTGATGTGAACGTAAACGGTAAATTAGGTTTAGCTGTGGTATTAAGGACCTTTGAAACGAATAATCACCTCAGCTCTTTTTAACTTGTACTTAGTTGAAAGGAGATTATGGGTCAAGAATTCCGCAGGGATTCCAAAGATTTTACTCCCGGTTATCCTTACTATGGCCGTACAGCAAACGTAAAACCGCCAGCTAGAGTGGTTTTCTCCTAACAGACAATAATATGCAAAGTTGACACTGGGGGAATATAAATGAACGACCGATAATACATGTAATCCTGATTTGCACCTCATCACAATATGCAAGTCTGGTTTTGAAGTATCAACACGTCATTTTACTAACATTTACTGTTATAAACATCTGCCAAAAGTTTTCACCTCTACAGTTTCCTTTTTTAATTACATAAAGATAGCATACCCGTACCACAAAAATTTTGCACGGATATATTTTGACTCAAATGAGAAGTTATCGGACTTAACGAGGTGAACTTCTACGACATCTTTAATGTCATGTAGGATCTTTTTCTTCGGAGAGATAATTTTTCGGATGGAGGACAATCTGCATAAAATCTGCGATAAACAAATTTCGCAGAATGTGTTCATAGGTTAATCTGGTAATGCTACAAAATCAGGTTCTCTCTTAATCACCCAAGGTTAGAGTACATACAAACCGCCCGAAGATAGCATGCATACTGAAGATATGCATATTAGGGACTGTAGGTGTCTATTCGTTATCAGGAGACATCAAACAGCATCGTTTTTCATTTCTTTTTTTTTCTTTTTTTTTTCACGTCTCTTGATTAAGGCTTGGTCCCCAAAATTGTTGGGGTTATTTTAATAGTCGACGGCTTCTATAACATTTCTGAGTATTCTGTGGGAACCTAAAAGTTTTACCAGCAGTCATCTGCCGTCGAATCAATAATGAAACTAGCTGTAATAAAGATTTTACTTTTCACATTAAAGACAGCAATAATTAGGAATATCAAGGCAATTTAAATGAACTACAACTTACCACTGGACTGAAATGGTGAAAAGAAGAACTCACTTTCAGTTCTTTTCTGGCTCTGTATTTGTCTGTGTCCAGCAATTCACAAATGTAGAAACCATTATCTGGATATGTTGCCAAGTTGTACGAGAAACATTCGTTTTTAGTGATGCATTTGAACGAGCATAGAAATTCGTCCTTAGTTAGGATAGTTGCGATTACTGTTGCGGAAAGATGCTTATGAAGTGTAGCTTTAAAGTTACCATACATAATCTGTAGGTTTTTGTCTCGGTGAAGAGCGCCAGGTTGTAAGGACCGACCGTTTTCAGAGACGTTGAAAACCAGAAGGAACGTCAAAATAAAAACAAAGCTGATGACCGCCATAACTGGAAAAGAAGGATAACTTTGTTGGAAAACCTTAGAAATCTGCTCAAGTCTTCCATGCAGCTGTTACAATAGCTAGCTTTGTTAATTAATCCAAGGGTGAAGAGAGATTCCTGAAATAAACTCTGTTGATATTAATTAGTGAATGTGTTTGCAGTAACCACCAAAAACTTCATTAATTTTGAATGAAGGAGGCAAGTAATGAATGAAATACAGCAAAAAAATAAGAAAGGTTAAACAAAAAAAAAGCAGATTTTTTCGTAGCCACTAACTTTATAGATTTTGGTCTTGTTTGATTTATGTTAGCAATAAATATACATCGTTTGGTGTTACAGTAACGATATCGCTGAAAAAGACTATTATTTGTAATGTTCCGGAGCGAAAATAATCATACTCTCTTCTTAACATACGTCAATGACATATCATCAAACATCTCCACAATCACTCGGATGTTCGCCGATGACACTAAGATACGACGGGAACTGGCAAATGTTGAAAAAAATCGCTTTAAGTAGGAGCTACCATACGATAGCGATCAGCTAGCAGTATGGACTAAGAAATGGAATCTGCGGCGACATTTTATAATAACAAACACAATCATTTCTCCTTCTATGGGTTATAGTGTAATTTACCATAATTGGCAGTGCTGTACTCTTAATCGACAACGATATTCGTCATCACAGCTGCGCCTTGTAAGTCCACAACATTTTGTCCACTGTGATGACAAATAAGAGTGGAGACCACTCTAAACCACTATCGATTTGTTTTTAACCCCAACATCAACGTCGAAATAAAACAATTCTTTAGTGCGTAACCATTGCGTGACATGTTGACGCGAACAACATTGGCTGTACTGTTATCGACGAAGGCAAATTGGCCAATTAGACCGCGAAATTACAGCCAATTGTGGTAAAATAGCATGAGTAATAAGTTGAACACTGAAATTGTTCAAAACAGCTTGTGACCCTTTGACTTTTATGTAAAACAGCTGCACATTTTATGATCATAGTCCGCCTGCGACATTTTTAACATCTTGTTTTCCTTTATTTTCTTTTAAAGTGTTCTTACATTCTTTTAAAGTGACACGTCAAAGGGCTTACCTCTGTCATTCCTTTTAAGATGCATTTTTCTTTGACTTCTCGCATCTTGAATGAAATATCATGTTATGTATGTGAAGCTGAGTTTTCCACTCACAGCTATAAGCTCAAAGAATCATAAATACGAAAAATCTTGCATGCAAGAAACCGACCATTGTAGTAACAGCAGCGTAGAAAGGTCTACCACAACATCAATAAACTGAAGTAAATGATCGACGAGACATATTTATTTAACGAGGAAAAATTGCCCTTAAAGGATCACCGCTTTTTTTTCGCAACTTTCGGATATTTCAGCGAAATATGAGAGCTTGTTCATTTTACAGCAAACGGGCTATTGCTTCGCAGTACTTGGGCAGAAGACAGTTGTCACAAGTTTTCAGCGCAGGGGGTCACGGGCAGGCTATTTCAAGGGATCATAGAGCAGAGACGTAAGGGTATAATCCAAGTCATTTCAGGAAAAGAAAAACAAGGAGACGCCACGGTTTCGATTGTTATTTTTTTGTGTGTGCACTTAGCTTTTCACTATTCTTCACTGACTAAGCAGAGGATGAAAATAGCCGCTATTTGCTGAGCAGAACATCAATGATAACAAAGATTTTATGGCACATCCATTTACTTTGAACTATTTAGGGTAATTTTTAGAATGGATGAATTGGCAATTTTAGTATAATGGAATTTTCTACTCAAATTTCCCCGTCTAAGTTTGCTGTTGTTGCTTTTTATGAAAATTTTTCCCAAAGCGCCCCATATTGCATAATCTAACGCTACTACAGCCAACCTGCTATGAAAGAACACAGAGGAAGACCCTCCTTCATTACTTAGAGGGAGAGGGAGAGGATTTCAATATCTGACGTATGAAAAAAGGAGCAAAAGCTGTTTAACACATTCCTTTTACTTTGTTCACAACTTACACACCTTCACAGTGAATTACTGCAGATCCCGCTTTTTAGTGACAGTGATAAGAGTTTCGTTCAAAGTTAGGAATGCAGATTTCGTCATTTTGACTGCTTTCACAAGATTGTCACGGACTGCATGTCACGTAAACATAAACAGATAGTAAGGAACTAAAAAAACAAAAAAACAGTACCACCTAATCAGTAGCCTTAGGCAGCAAAACAGGTAGATTAAAACCACCCGCCTTAGTGCTGTGACCAAGAGATTAGGTTTATTCATTATGTAAGACTTCCAACTTAGTCAATTACTTTGATTCTTTTTACCTTGCACCGAGAAAAAAGGGGTGGTACGGCAAACACACCTTCAGAGGATCCTCTCCTTGGCTATATTTGCCACAGACTTAAGTTTAACCCAGACCGAACATGCTGGCACATGAAAAACTAGTACAAGAAATCAACAAACATAAAAATTCGCAACATTCTGCTAAGACTCTGAAATCTGGTTTAATTCTCCTTAATCACCCAAAGTTATGTTAATAAGACAAACTGCCAGCAGGTAGTATATGGGAGTTAGGAAGAATTCAAGGCCTTCCTAGTTGTTAATTAAAGAGCATGCGTGTTGAAAGCAAAACCAAGTTTTCATTTATTTTTAAATAACGAATCTCTAAATGAAAAACAACATGAAATAAACACTGAAAACGTATTTTTTCGAAAAACACTGACCACACATATTTTGGTCTGGCTCGATTGAGAATAAAGATGAATGTACTTCCGTTGTCACAGTGAGAATACCCGTGAAAAAAAATAGTAAATTTGTAATTTTTCGACATCCTGAGCGAAAACATACTTAATTAATAGAAGTGAAGAGGTTTTTTTCGAAGGACGTGTATGATTCCTGTTTACCAAAAATCACAGTGCCCTTTTTTCTGATATTATTGTTTCCGTTTACCTTGGAATGGGGGCCGAGTTTTCAACTTTTCACTCTCGGCTGTTAGCTTAGATGCAAAAAAAAAGGTAAGCCATTCCTATCATAGGAAGTATAAAAGGCCGTCGGCCTGCGATACAAATAATTGCATTAAGAAATAAAGCTACTCAGAAGGTTATTTGTAACTTTTGGAGTGCTATGTGCAATAGCAGATGATCTCAGCTGGCTTATTTAATATCTGACTGGACAGATCATGAGTTATTATTCACAGCTAATGTCTCCTTTAAGATCATCGAAATTGATGTGATGCCAGGCCGAGGAGCCAGCGTCAACAAGTCTGACATGTGCAATTTGACCAATAAATTGCTCAATATCCCAAGTCGCACGGTTCATGGTCTCAGAGCAAGTACCAGTGACAGTTTTGACAACCTAAAATGTATAAAGAAAAATTTGTCGTAGACAGCACAATAGGTTGTATCAAAAAACCTTGACAAGGGTTGCAAAGCTTGTCATACTTACATCAAAAACATTTTACTTCTTTCCTAGCTGTCAAAGGACCGCACAGATGGCGTTAACATTGCGAGAAGGCCAAGTTGTTTCAACAGCGTGGAAAAGATGAAAGATTTTTGCTTTAGAACCTCATTCACATAGATTCTCGCTGGGTCAATTTTGTTTTTAAGTTAGAAGGAGACACTGGGACAGTAAAGTATCTTGTCCGAGACAAGTGGTTCGAATCTAACGTGCGATCCCTATTCCTCCCAAAAGGAGGAATAAGGATCAAACCATTTGTGCAAATTTGGAGCATATCGATAAAATCCGCAGATAATCTATTGCATCTGTATTCCCAAAGCTAAAAATCAGCCAACAAGTATCATGACATGTCATCTTATGAATGGTTCGTGAGGGCAAGGGAAGTGCACGATCGTCCATGGAATGGTAGCTAGTCCTGAAAACGACTATCTTCAGCACTTTTGAATAACGCTTCATTAACCTGAGAAAGCTATCAGAGGTATTTGAGAGGTATTTTCTCTTACCTGAATCCCGACAACTAGTTCTACTCGAACTATGTTAATGTCACAACCTCCACCGACAAGAAAGTCAACACTTTTTCCGTTGATCTTAAAGGACGGGGAAGTGAGATATCCCTGAGGAGCATCGTCTTGAGCGTGTCCCGCGGGTGTATCAATAGATGGACGATTTTCAAATGTTCCAATCCACCAGTTGCCCTGTTGGTTTGCAGACTCTCTCAAGCGCGCCGTAGGGTTATCGCCGTATGTCGGCTGATTATTAAAAGCTGTACCGCTCCTTATCCAGCCACCTATCCCATTTTCAAAGTCGAAATTGCAGGGTTTGGCTGAAAAAAAAATCCAAATGTAGCGAACAAACACAAACATTAGCTACCCCCCTCACATCTACTTCACAACAAGTTTTATTTATACCAATCTCCAACTAAAAAACATATGGTGACAAAGCCTTTCAGAAAAGTTCCTCTTAAGTAATTTTAAAAGAAACTTTAAGATGTATCTTTCTAAACGGGCGTTTACTTTATGACTGTGGTGTAATCAGCTTTATTTTTTTATTTTCTTAAATTGTAATCTCTTAAATCAGAACTTTGGAACTTAAGCGAAAAGTAAATCGTGATTATTATTATTATTATTATTATTATTATTATTATCATTATCACTATTATTATTATTATTATTATTATTATTATTATTATTATCATCATCATTGTTTCGTGCAGTGATCAAGCACTGGCACTTTGATCTACGAATACACGATGAAGCAAAGAATTTGCAAAAATCCCAGCTGATATTATTTCAGACCACAATTTATTGGCGCAAGAGCCCAGGCCAAGCTATGTCCCGCGACCATACGGGAAGCAACCAAAAGGTTTAAGTCGACTCATGACAGTCAAACATCCATTAACTCGCGCCAGGCTCTCGGCAAGCGGAGATGCGGAGAGCCTGAGACACTGAGTGCCTTAAACACGCTGAACATCGATGCACTCAGATATTTTGATTGCTAAGCTTATCTTTGAATCAGTCATAGCATTTAAAGATGAGACCAGACGTTTTCCGCGATTGCATTAACTCTAGCACCCTCTCTCCGATCCAAAACTTAAACCAACTGCAACTTGGTAAACTACGTTTCGGCTTTAAGTACCCACCGTCTTCTTGACGAATGTTACTTTCTAAATATTAGACCAATGTTAGATAGATTACTGGTAAAAATGAGTTGGGTAAAGGAACTGAATCACGACATACCAATAATTCTAAAGGCCCTCTAAGTAGCAATTTTTTGCCGCAACACTTTTCCCTTTGTATACTTTACTCTATTACATACTGCAATTCTGTTGCAATGCTACACAACAACTAATTGAAACAAAATTAAACCACGAGGTTGGTATACAGTATATTACAGTTATCACTTACAAAACCACATTACCCAAATTATATTAATCACTTAAGAGGGTTTCAATGGGGTGATGGCTTTTACGGCTAATAGTTTAACATTTGGTCAATTTACGGCTAACGGTTAATATCTTTCCATAGTGGTCACCAGAAACGTTTTTACGGTTGATTTCATTTACGACTAATGGTTGAAATTTATAAGTTTTTGGCCGTTTTATGGCCGACGGTTCCTTCCAGAGTACGACAATGGAATAATTACGCATACAATGCTATAAATAACTTAGAATATTTGCAAGATAAGGCATACTTACGAGTTTCACAGTACGTTCCATTGAAATATGACATACAAGTGCAGGAATAAGAATTCCCCAAATAGTCAGGAATACATGTTCCGTTATTCTGACAAGGCGAGCTCTCACATGGCGACTGTATCATTAAAAAAAATATTCAAACAGCCTCTTTGAAGTCTCGTTTCTCGTTTCCAAGCGTAAAAAAGAGAGGTAAATGATTAATTATTTATTTAGTTGTTAAACACAATTTTCAGCTCCATGATATGTTGTGTAACCAGAGAATGCATATATATCCAGTCAATGAAACGAAACTGTACGTCTGAATGAATCCACAAAGCCAAAGTTCCTTAAATAGAGCAATTTTTCATTAAAACCTTGGTTTCATTGAACAAAAAAATGGTTTGAGTCAATGGTCTTTGACCTTTGTGGGGAGTACTTCTCAGAATTCCTAGTGTGTCGCCCGAGTACATCCTGACCTTATCTAAGAGCAAAATATGCTCTCTACCTTTTAACCCTTTTTAGCGTCAGATAAAGACATTGGCTTTGATGTCGATAGCGTTGGCAAGATAAAAAGGAAAATTTATCCAAATGATAAATTTTAGCCACTTCTCTGTTTATTACTTATGTGGAACTTGAGAGGAAAAATAATTTTACGCACTCTCATTGTTCCCTCGAAAGCTAACACGAAAAGCATGAAAAGAACGTCGACTACACAAAACTAAACTGTTCTGAGCGACGCCTTATCGTGTTACCACTCACCATTGGGCTAAAATGATGGAAGCTAGAATTCGCTCGAAGTCTGTCTTTAGCTCTGTACATGTCTGTGGCCAACACCTCACATATATAGATGCCATTAGAGTCTGGAGATTTGGCTATGTTATATGACAAACACTTGGTATCCCCAATACAGCTGGATGAACAATCTAGATCATCTTTCAGAAAGTGCGACCTTGCAATTGTGACCAAGAGACTTTGGTTTTGATTTGATTTGAATTTTCCATATTTTGTTTTGTAATCTCGGTAAAGAGAAGTTTGCATGTGTGTCTTGGTCGTGATCGACAAATACAAGACGCCAAAGAAAATAAGGCACAAACGGAACACCATAGCAAAAGCTTATAAAATATGGTCAACTTTTCTGCCTTCTTGTCGAAGTTGGTCTCCACTAAGTTTCCGACTAATTGAATGAAACACATGTTATATTAATAACCATGCACTCAAAAGAGGTTAATTTTAATAAGGTGTCATCCCACCATTACGTCCGTTATCGAATAGGTTTTCAGTTAAATTCAACAGGCGGTGAGGGTCTGCAATTGAATCTTGACTAATTAAAGAGCTAAAATTGAATATCAGTGAAAAGTAACTCTTATAGCCAGACATTTTCAAAACCCGATGTAAATAATGTAAGTCATCATTTAGTTTGTTTATTTTTGACAACCTGTTATACAAAACAATGAAATGGATGCTCTTCGCTATTATTAAGTTCTTACTCTGTCCAATAAGTTATCATAGAATATGTCTCATGCTTACCAATAAATGTGAGAAAAATTCTAGACTTGGCCAGCGAGCTATTTCTTGCCTCTAGAAGCTAAATCAAATCATTGTTCCTCGAGCCAGCTCTCCTTTTAAAAATGAGACATGAGAAGGTGCTTATTTCTATTTATTTTTAAAATTATAATTACGCGCCATGAACCCAGACTTTATTAGAAAGATGCGATTCTTTATCAACGCTATACTTAAGTCCTTGACAAGAAACATAAAAGCGAAAGTTGTGATAACAGATCTTCTGAATCTTCTATTGAAAGAATGAAGATATGAAAAAAAAAATGCCACTTGAAGTTATTCACCATCAACTGCAAGCGGTGTTTTTCACCGTTTTTAAATATTACTTTATATCTTTTAATGATTTGTTTTCCTTCTAGCTCCATATAAACTAATTAAGTCTTTCGGATTAACTAGTACAAGCGTCAAAGTATCCGCCCTCCACCCCTCCATGAATACTTAAAGTTAAAACAAAATAGTCCAAAAATGGTCTAATGGTCCAAGGGTCCATTGGTCCAGTCCATAGTTCATCTATACCGGATAGCAAGGATAAAATGTGTAACCGTCATAATCAAGTTGGCCACAAGGCAAAATAAATATAAATATACAAATATTCCGACACTTTTAAAAGGACACAATATAGATAGGAAAAACTGATATAATTGGTTAGTCTTTACAACCTCCAGTTAAAACAAGTCAAATTTTTCGAATAACGGCCTAAAATTTCGGCCAGTCCGAACAGGTCCACACGCCACGTAGATTGTTTTAATTTAGCGCATGGGCAGCGCAACATCCCTTTATTAAATACCTGGGTTTTTAAGTACTATAAACTGAGTTGATGATGTAAATTAGCCACCGTAAAAAGTTTAAAAGCTGACTTTTCGAGCGTTAGCCCTTCGTCTACGAAGGGCTAACGCTCGAAACGTCCGCTTTTAATCTCTTTACGAAGGCAAGTTTACGTTCCTTGAAATGTTCAATCTTCTGCTGTAGCTCTCTCTCGGTAAAGCTTCTTAAAGAGTCGGTCACTCCCAACAACAACAACAAATACTACTACTACTACTACATGACTGAGTCCTTATGGACATCCGCAAAATATTCTTTAACATTCCGGAAGCTTATAACACACCTATTTTGGTAGTATCACATCATGACTACGTGACTGTGACGTCACGAACACAGTTCTCGTCCCCAGTTTCGTGAAACCCTTTTAAAGGGAAATTGACCGTATTTCGGCCGCATATAAAAACCAAATAACTTTTTAATTTTTTGCCATTTTCGGGTAATTATTAGTTTTTTTATTATATATACCAAGGAAGGAAAGTACGCAAAAAAGATTTGTTTCATGTACACTTTAAAACTGAGTTTTTCCCAATTCATGAGTATAGCCCTATTAACCTAAGTCTATATTTCGCGGGGTAAAATCAGGGAAAACTTCGGGGAGGTTGAAAGACTTGAGAGGACTTAGATAGGAATAGATGTACCCTTAATCTTAACTCTTTAGGAACACGTGAGGCGGGTAGCCTCCATCATTTGTGTTGGTGTATGAGGTCTTCTTAGAAGGATCTGTACACTCAAAACATGACATAGATCCCTCCCACCACTCCATTCCCAAACAGTTCTCTGTGCACATCTCTTTGCACTCGTCTGCTGTTATTCCATTTGCAAGCCTGGTTGATCTTCCTGCTCCGGTACACCACTGAGGTGTAAAGTGAAGCCAACTAACCACATGACTTGGAACTGAAATTATAAAACATCAAATACTAAGTTAAAGGTGAGAGCCTGCCGGTCAGAAGTCACACTTTAGGCCTACCCCCTCCCCAGGAGTAAAAACTGGCAACGGCGACCTGTCTAGGAAACCTGACTAAATACCGGGGGGTAACCTGCTATAGACTAGCCTTCCATCCAGGGAGGAGACGTCCTCCAGTACTCCTGAGTTTTGTGAACGAGTCGGGAAATGTATCTCATTACTAGGAATAAACTCTATAAGTCCTACTTCACAGGCTGAGAACCTTGAGCGGACTGAGCATCAATACACTCGGAGATAAGACTGCTCATCCACTCCTTGAATTAGTTAAAGTAACTCCCAGTAGAAAGTCGAACGTAATTCATAATTGTATGTGTTAAGTTTCCTTTTTCCTAGGCTTTGTTAGCGACGATATTCTCTGTCTTCTTTTTAAATTTACCGTCATAAAGATCGTACCAATATTAGATAGATTAAATGTTGAAAAGTGGCTGGAAAAATGAACTGAATCAGACCATACTAGTAATTTTCATAACATTCTAAGTACCAATCCATACTTACGTGTTTCACAATGCTGTCCAGTGACATGTGATGGGCAATTGCAGGAATAAGAATTTCCTTCATAGTCAGGAATACATGTTCCGCTATTCTGACAGGGCGAGCTCTCACATGGCGACTGTATCATAAAGAAAAAGATAAACATCTTCTTTTAAGTCATATTTTAGGATAAAAAAGGTAAGTAAATAATTTTAAAATCGTTTACCTCTTTGTCGAGGAAAATTTCCATCTGTTGCATGCCCTTACAATGCGTATTTACTCAACTAATGCATCGAAACTTTCTTCTCGATACAGGCACGAATGTAAATGTACTACTAATTTTTTTTTTCTCTTCAAGGTTCTGATTATGAATTCATCATAACCTTGGTTGTGTAAAAAAGAAATGGTTTAAGTCCATAGTCCTTGACCTCATTGGGGAGCACTTCTCAGTATTCTGGGTTTGCCGCCTTGTTCTAGAGCAAAAGATACTTTTCATAAACTCTTTTACAGACCTGACGTCTGAAAATAGCTGTAAGGGCATTTTTTATGTAGCATTGGCTAGATCTGTTGGAAAATTCAGCTGAATTATATATTTGGCCATTTCTCTTTCTATTTTTTCGGTTTGGAATTGAAAGAAAAATTATTCTTACTTCATCATATTAAAAATATGCAATCATTTTCAGATCAAAACGGTTCAAAAACTAGGTCCTTTGGGGCAGCATTGCCTAAATATCTTATTTAGAGGAGTATTCCCTCCAATCATTCTTTAAACGTATCTCGCTTTTCCATACCTCGTATTGTATTGAGGGTTTGACTGATAGTTCTCATCAAAGGTATAACATTCAACGCATACAACAGTGACAGAAAACATGAGAAAACGAATGATTACTCTCAAAACTGAACTGATCTGAGCGACGCCTTAAAAAAAACTACTCACCATGGGGCTAAAATGATGGAAGCTAGAATTCGCTTGAAGTCTGTCTTTAGCTCTGTACTTGTCCGTGGCCAGCACCTCACATATATAGATGCCATTAGAGTCTGGAGATTTTGCTATATTATATGACAAACATTTGGAATCCCCAATACAGTGGAATGAACACTCCAATGCATCTTCCAGAAAGTGCGACTTTGTTAGTGTGACTAAGAGGCTTTGGTTTTGATTTGATTTGAATTTTCCATGTTTCGTTTTGTAATCTCGGTAAAGAGAACTTTGCACATGTGTCTTAGCAGTGATCGACAAACACAAGACGCTTAAGAAAACAAGAGGTATACAGTTAGCCATCGTAAGTCTTGATGAAATATGGTCAATCTTTCTGCTTTCTCGTCGAATCTGGTCGCTCACGGTGAATCAAATGGGACACCTGTTTTTTTTTTTAAGAAGAAAAATTATCATGAGTTTATGTTTATCAAAATAACCACAGACTCAAAAGTTAATTAAAATGATTTGAGTAAGCAAACATATTTTCGGTTAAAATTGAATGGATAAGATGGTGAGATTCTGCACTTGAATCTTTCCCAATGAAAGAATTTAAATTGAAAATGTAAAGCAATTATAACAGCTAGACATTTTCAAAAACCCGATTTGATGGTGCAAGTCAATATTTTTCTTTACTTTGTTATTGTTTGTAATAGGAGTGAGTTTAGGCGCATATGAAACAAAACATATGAATGAATGCTCTTCGCTTTTTTTAAATTTTTACTCTGTCTGGTAAGTAATTATAAGGAGAATACCTCTTGTCCTATCAATATGTGGGAGAAAAAAGTAAACTCGGTGAGCTATTTCTTGTGTGTAGATGCTAAAATTAATCGTTGTTTCTCGAAATTGCTCTCCCTTTTAAATTGGGGCGTGAAAAAGATGCTTATTTCTGTTTATTTTGATTAGAAGTGTGGGCCGCATGAATCAATAAAGAAATGTGTTTAATTGGGATGCTTTTATTTTGTTGCACAAAAGTGCTTTCCCTCTTAAAAACGAGGCATGATAAAGATGCTTATTTCTCTTTACTTTAATAAAGTGCACGCCATGAAACCAGTCGACTCTATTAAGAAGACGCTGTTCTTTATCCTCTGTTTAATTAAATCCAAGAAGCTCCCAAGGGGAGGTTATGATAGCAGTTGGTCTAACTACTCAATTGAAACAATTCAGGTAAATCACTGTTGGTAAGATGTGGTAGATCATAGTGAAAAGTTGAAGAATTTTCACAAAAGCGCTCCTTTCTTGTGCGAGTTTAGCAGTGCGCAACGTGCTTGAGGTGGATAAAGTGGTGCTAAAGAGGCAAAAAAAAAAAGCCTCGAAATAGGTACAGGGGGCCAATATAATCTCTCTTCTACTAAAGCCATATTGTGAAAGTGGTTAATTCACAGTTATTTGAGTGAACCAAGATCAACGTGCACCCCTCTGATGATTTAAGGCCAAATCATTCTTTGGTTGATGATTTTTCAGTTTGCCCGCTACAATTCACCCGCGACTCATAAAAAAATAAAATAAAATTTTCAAAACACAGTTTTCAAAGTTTATTCTAAACTCACATCTTCCGCATTGCTTACATATCTCTTACAAATGTTTCTTCGCTTTAACACGACGGCTTAATTATCTTCACTGAACCTTTCACGTGAGCCTTGAAGTCGTGCCATTGAAACACGTTCCCCACCCCTGTCAGGCACGACTGCGACATGCGTGCGATTTCTTGGTCAAGAATCACGTGATTCCAGATATTGACACCTGTCATTTCACCAATGAAACTTTGAAAGGATTGAAAGGATCCCCCCACTGAGTCTTGCTCTTGTCCTAGTACTAGGGCTCCTCCACCACGAATTACATGACCTGTCAAACCACAATCGGGAAAAAATATGGAACTTTGTACTATAACACTAAGTATAATGATTCAAGTTAGCTTTTATCTGACTGAGCAAAGAATTAAGACACATAAACACCAAGGGACGTTCTGGACAAACTTTCCTTTCGAGTTTACTAAATGAATATGAGAGATCAATGACAGTTCAAAATTAGTCATAGTTGTATGTCAAGCGTTCTGTTTGTTCCTTTGACTGAGCGGTCAGTCTTTGGGGAGAACTATGCATGGAAAAGTGAAAATATGGGCATACTTTCCTTCTAGTTAACTCAATCACAATAATTTACCATAGTGTTAAGCACTGTATTACATGTTCAAGACTTGTTGGTTTTGTAAATTTCACCTTCCTGATTTGGTTCTATGTTGAAATTGATAAATCTATGGGGGAAAAAACTGAAAAACTCCTCCTATCATGATTGATACACTCAAATATCGTCAATTATTCGTGTTGTAATAACTGCTTAAAGAAGAGTTCACCAGTTTTGAGACTTGTCCCAGAAGCCGCAACGGAGCCATCTTTGAACAGTTTCCAAGATCCAGCGTTATTCTCCCAAGTAACACAGATGTGGTGCCACTTTCCATCGTTGGCAGAGACGGAAGAAGAACTTCTGTAGAAGAACAGCACAAAAAGTACGTTATAATAATAAATTCATCCTACAAAGATATAATTATCATTAACTCCATCGGACGTACATTTTTATCAGTGAGACAGATTTTGAATCTGATGTGCATTCAATCCTTTTAAGAAGACCTTAACATGCGATGGGTTGCAATCAACGGTATTAACTTCAACCCAATGCTCCACCGACTTGCATTCATTTCATCAAGAATGAACTTCTCCGAACAATTAAAGAGGTAAACATTGTACCTTCTTCCTCCCACAGATAATCCCAATTTCTTATAGTTCCACAAAGTCAATTCGTTGTGTGTTCCAGGAACAGCATAGCTCAGTTGTGTTCCTTCATTGTCGGTATCAGCGGTTTTCATCCAGAGACAAACAGCCACTGCTGTAAGGCTTGGCATACTACTTGTGATGATGATATAGTCACTAGTTCCTTTACGCGAAAATTCAAAGGCGTAATCTGCAACTGTATATGAGATTCACAAAGATGTAAATATCAGGCCAGCCTGCTTGCTCGACCAGGATTAACTTGTGGGTTGAGTTTGTTGATGGCTCTCGTCCTTGCTTTGAGGGTTTTACTCTGAGCTATCGGGTTTTCCTCCCTCAACGAAACACTACTCTTCAAATTCCGACTCGAAACATTGGACGAGGGTTACACCTCGTGGAATGTCAGCCGCTAAAATTATCATCATTGTCATATTGATATTATTAGTATCATTATTAATGGGTAATGAAGAACCAAAACTGGCTAAAAATTTGAATTTGAATTTGTCTTAATCACCATCACTTGTGAAAAATTGTTTCAATTGAAAAGAAAAATTTAACTTTTTTGATTCATTAGTTTTCCAAAAAACTTTTTCTGTGTGTGTGATCTAACTTCGTAACTGCGGGAATTTTTAGGGCACAGCAATATGGCCCACGGTTATACGATAGGGAAGAGAATTGCTACAAAGATAAGATCTTCCAGGATCCTCAAGTGCCCATAATTGTGAGCATACTTACATGTATCACAATGCTTCCCAGTAAAATCCGGTGTACAATTGCAGAGATGATCATTTTGTTTAAAGTCAGGAATGCATTTTCCACTATTCTTGCAAGGCCAGTTCTCACAAGGCGACTATTTCATAAAAAAATTAAAGCATCTTCTTTCAATTTTTAATTTAATTGTCAAGGTCGAAGAAAACGATGATGGCTTAAGACACTGGTTGTATTCAAGAATAATTGTTTGAGTAAATGATAGTTCCACTCAATTACACAAAACTCAAACGTATAACTGTGTTGAAACAAACGTGAAAGGCACGAACGCGTACGACTACACTCAAACTACACTGAATTGAGCTACATCTGATAAATTAACCACTCACCATGGGGCTAAAATGATGGAAGCTAGAATTAGCTTTAAGTCTGTCTTTAGCTCTGTACATGTCTGTGGCCAGCACCTCACATACATAGATACCATTAGAATCTGGAGATTTGGCTATATTATATGACAAGCACTTGGGATCCCCAACACAGCTGAATGAACAATCCGATGCATCTTCAACAAAAAGTGACTCTGTTATTGATACCAAGAGACTTTGGTTGTGGTTACGTTTGAATTTTCCATATTTTGTTTGCGAGTCACGATATAGAGAACTTTGCATAAATGCGGTAGTCGTACTTGACAAATACAAAACAGTGACCAATACAAAAGAAATCCGATAAGTCATCGTAAACGCCAAAGAAATATTTTCTACCCAAGAATCTAAATAGGCAGGATCTGATCTCTCACGATGTTTCCGATTAATTAAACAGTTCACACAGAAGTCTTGAATTTTAATTAGGATAATTATGACGAGAGTTAGCAAATAAACTTTCAATAACATTCAGTGGATCATGCGGTTTAAGTCCATTCTTGAGTCTCGACTTTTAAAATAATCAAACGTGAAAATAAAAAGCAACACCTATGGCTAATTATTATCGAAATCCCTTCTAGATGCTATAGGTCATTTTTTGTGTTTTTTTTTTCTTTTTTTTTTTTACTAAGACAGAACCGTTTGGTGGAACCGCTTTTGGACTGAATATTAAAAAAAAGTCTTAACGAATGCCCTTCCCTTTGTATATTTTTTACCCTGTGTAATAAATTTATGGTAACAAATACATCTTTCCCGAATCAATATGTGGGAGAAAAAATATCTAAACTGAGTCACTGAGTGATCTATTGTTTGTAAAAGGTTTCAATAACTCTATTTACAAGAGCACGCCATGAAACCGAACTATGTTTAGAAGACGCCATACTTTATCTTCGGTTTAATCAAATTCTTCATACTAATGAGGAGGCCACAAGCGCACTTTGTGACAACAGTTCTTCCAAATCTACCATTGAAATAACAAAGAATGATAAAAAGAATGTGTCGGCTGGGTTTAGCAACAAGGCAGAATGAAAGAGATAGTTTAGAAAAAAATGAAGACGTGGAAGGTTACGAAGCAGCAAATCGAAATCCATAGGGAATATATGTGTTCTGTATGATATCATTTCTTGTATCTGCAGATCGTAAATTACATAAAGATGGACTCAACGGCCAAGAGTGCTTTTGTGAGTTTAGTCAGTAAACTAACGGAGAAAAACTATGATGAGTGAAGATACATGAAGAAGCAAAGAACCGATCAATGAATTAGCTCTTTGCAAAACTAAAAAGTCAGAGGAGAAAGAGAACATTTGGATTTATGACTTGCCATTCCAACAGGAAGCATTTCTTTTGCATAAAGGAGGCCACATTGTAAGCTTTTCAGGGGTCTATCGTTTAGTCTGGTGGAGAGAAAAGTTAAAGCTGGTTTCAAATGAAATCATACACGATCAATGAGATAATGTCCCGCGCTCGTAGTAACCATTACAGTGTCCAGTAAAGGGGTTATCATTCTAATATTATTTCATTTTTTAGCCTTCCAAATACATCGAACGGCATAATGAGACTCCTATCAATTATGCAAGGTGTGCTCATAACAAAAACAGCACAAACGAAATCATGGTAGTTACTTTATAAGAAACCAAGAAAGTTTTATTATTTACGATTTCGTCCTCCAAAAAGTAAAAAAATCGGAGTTTGACGATGTAGTAGTACGGACCGAGCGCAGCCAATATTCCCAAGGGCCAATATTTCCCAGTGCGGTTCGACCGAGCCAGGTTAGTAAGAATTTTATTACGTGGCGCTGAACCAAACTTGCTTATTTTTTATTTTTTGGCCTTCGGCCTATGAACGTTTCCGTCGAAAGGATCAGTATGGTAAAATATGGACAAAGTAAGAAGCAATCAGAAAGCTCGGATTTAACTTAATACTACCTTGCCATATAACAACGTCGCCCTAATATGGTTAAATGGCGCAATATTGGAATAATGTTGTGCAACATTTCCTGAATTGAGGATAAAGTTAGAGTTACAAAATTGAAAATGTTTGATCAAAAGAAGTCTAAAGTACCCTGTTATTCGCGCGTTTTTGTTTGATTTTGTTTGGGTGATTTTGCATATCCAATTATCTTAAAGTCAACTGCACCGCTAACCGATAGAAATACTTGGTACATACTAGCCGGCATAAGTCTACAAAGAATATGATGGGGGAGTTCTCGTAAAATTGGGTCAGTGTTCATATCGACCCCGGCAGGTGGGTGAAATACGGACAAAATCTTAAAATTTTGTACCTAAGATTAAAAAGTAACAAATCCATTAGTTGAAATTCACTTTATTCCTTCCGAATAATTGTGACTCCCACTTTTGACTTGATTTTCACCCAAGGCATCAATTAAAGGGTTTCTCAGCCTTATCACGAAGTGGATTCGTCGATCGTCCTATCGGGTCAATAAGGTTGTATTTCGGTTGTATTCAACAGAAACTAGGTGGGCAGACCATAAAAGTTGTAAATCTTTTAGTTCATGGCCATCAACGATTAATACTCTTTCTCATAACAAGAATTTGATGGATTTTTTAATTTGAATACATTGGTATGCTATACATATTAGCGAAGTTTTTATGTTTTTATCTAAAGGCTTCTTTAACCCTTTAACTCCCAGATCAAATTTGCAACTCTCTTTACTGTCAACCATACAATTCTTATAATGTTAGTTCAGAGAATTTAGTATTGGATCAAATAATTATCCCCAAATTGATATTTTTCTTTATTCTCATCACTTATATGGTTGATATTGTATTGACATTGTAAGGAGAAATTCTGTCTTGGTCACTCAAGGGAGTTAAAGGGTTAGGCTGCCAAACTATGACAACGTTACCTTTAGTAATATAAATAACAAGTAACTGCATCCTAAATTTTGTAATAATATCCGGATCGTTACATTCACAATTTTTAATGAGATCTCGATTTAATAATTTGCGAAACATGTTGCGGTTTTTCTCACATCAGCCTTCGTCAGTCATAAGCATAGGTAATGATCATTTTTAAATCCATAAAGAAACAGCAAGGAAAAGAATGCAAAAGAAACAAAGTTTCAGTACTTGTAGCGGTAAATGTGTCAACTCGTTTTTGCGTTGAGTAAGCGTTGAGTAAGAATTAGTTTAAGCAGAAATTTTGCAAAGGTAGAATTTGAATAAGGAATCTACAGCACTGTTTCTTCTGTTTCTCTAGACTGATGATTTCGAAGGGGCAAATCAAGGAAGTTGAAACGTTTTCGATTCAGTTTAAATAGTTGCGATATACCAGCCCTTAATTCAGGCATCCGCAGGGCGTAAACTATGGGATTAATCAAGGAGTTTGCAAAGTATATGATTTGCACTAAGATATGAACATGAAAACTCGCTATCTGAGATAAAGGAAACTGACTTGATTCCCCGATGTGCAAGGCGATCACTAGGCTTTGGTGTATTATAAGTGGAAGCCAAGTTACCATCGATCCAAAAGTAACAACAAACAAGGTATTGGTCAGTCTCCTTTCTCTCTGTCCGGCTGCACCATGGTGTTGAGGATGACGACCGCAACGCACTTTGACAACTAAACAGAGATATGAGACTAAAATAACGAAGAGAGTCATAAAGAAATATGAAAAGTAAGCAATTTCCGAATTTAGAGGATCTGAAATAAAGATTTGTTCTGTCGCCAGTAAACCAGTGGTTAATAACCAAATTAAAGTTATAATTATCATATAAACCCATTTTTTTGTATGGCGATGCCTGACTGGACAAAATGTTGCACGCAGTCGTTCTAAAGAAATAACCGCAAGACTTAGCAGGGAAACAACTGGGAAAATGCCGAGTGTGATTTTTACGCGAATTGACCATTGATTCATCCAGTCGTTCCTCCACAGATTGCAAAATGACGCCATTTTAAGTTCGATTCGTAAAGGCCCACTGATTGCGCCAACTAACAAATCGACTATGGCCAGATGGATAATCAGATATGTGCTCTGTCGTTGTAGCTTGCGCTGCTTCACGAATACGATAACAGCGATGATATTAAGAAGGACTATGGCCAGGCATTCAGTGATGAAGACAACAAGCCATGGAATACAATGTGCGAGAGGAACTAACATCAAGTCTTCTTGGCTAGAGGTGTTATGAGTATTGTTGCTGAACTTGTTAGCCATTTAGTTTCGCCAGTTACTTGGAAACCAAAGAATTACCTAAAGTAAAGAAGAAAAAGCTTTCTGAAATTTACCTACATTCCTAAATTTTCCTTTGTTCCTTGCTGACGCCTCTTCCGGTATATGTTTTCAGGAAGCAAAAATGAATGCGGGCATATTTTAATCTCATTTCTATTTTGTTCCTTATCATAATCATGTGTCATAAACTTTCAGTTCATTTGGCTGGTCGAAATATAGCCGCGGAATACTGATTAAAAAGACTACAAAAACTCATCGATATTCAGTCGGCACGATGAGTTTTTTTACAGTTGTCCTTTTTTCTTGGTTCTGTGAAAAAAAAACTTGCTTACAGAAGCACGATAGGAACAGGTGAGAAAATATCGTTTACCGTTACCTTGTATTTGATATTTGCGATTGTAAACTCACAGATGAGTGACTTCTGCGAAAAGATCTGAAATTTAGAACAACCGCATTACAAAAATTAGCAAAAAAAAATATTTGAAGAATTTCTGGCCCATCAAAACATTGTATGATATGTTCATTCAAAGACATTTCAAGACATTTAAATACTGGTTTCCAGGCTAGAATCTCTTACGTTTGGTTTTGAACGACAGGACACTTCACTTTCGTTCTTTATGTTCAAGAAAATAAACGGAGTGATTCCAAAGTTGAGACATGTCAGGTAAATATGGGAATCCGTTTTTTTTGCCTTATTATGTTGTTCAGATTAACCAGCTGAAAACATCTGATAAACACACCAAAACAGACTAACAGTCATTATCATCTAATTTCATTTGTCTAAATTACGTCTCTTTTCATTTAAGAGTCTTCTGATAAAGACAAAGTCGAAAGAAAAGAGAAAATTAGAAAAGAATAGAAACGAGAAACTTTTTTTCAAAACCAATGCCTTTATTCAAAGCACTTTGATGAAAACTCGGTACCAGAAAAATTTGCTTGTGTTGCTGCTTCACAGTTATAGATG